TGGGCGCCCCGACTCGGGTGGCCGAGCCAGGCCGGAGGCCGAGGCTGGGGACCCCGCCGGGCCGGAGCCGGAGCCGGAGCCGGAGCCGGAGCCTGCCTCGGCCTCCCCGGCGTCGCCCGGCCTCTCGAGCTGGCAGGCCCGCCGGGCCACGTAGCACAACGGGCGGGACGCCGAGTGAGCCGGCGAGCCTGGCGTCTGCACCCCGGCTCTGCCGCGGCGGCGAGGGGAGCGCGGGCTTCAGGGCCCGCGGGCTGCAGCCGTCTTCGTGGTTGGCGGGTGTTTATCGCTGTGTTTTGATTTTGGTAAAGACATCTTCCCAAACGGCTCCTGTTCTGGGCTCCGCAAACCCAGATCAACACCGGGCATTTTGTGTAGGACAAGCCTTCTCCCAAAGCCGAAAGCAGGCCGTTGAATTTATTGTTCTCTTTCCTTCCTTCTTTCTGTCTCCTTTTTAAAATTATTATTCGTGTTTGCAGTGCCCGGCTATCACGTTGGCTGTGGGGAGTTGATGCGACAGTGTGTGGGCACAGCCGGATTCTCCTTGAACCCCACTCCCTCCGCAGACTTGTTTTTTGACTGGAGAAGAGTAAGGTTTCGGAGTGAAAGTCCCAGCTTCGGGCTGGCAGCATTCTCTCTTGCTCCTGCGATCTCTCTCTCTCTCTCTCTCTCTCTCTCTCTCTCTCTCTCTCTGTGTGTGTGTGTTTCTTGTTTTGTTTTGCCATACTGGGGATTCAATCCAAGGCCTCTTTATTTTTTATCTTGAGACAGAGCCTCCTTAAGTTGCTAGATTGCCTGGGCTGGGCTGGGTTTGAACTTGCTACCCTGCTCCCAGTGATCCCTTGGAGATTGCAGGCCTGGGCCAGGCCTAGCTTAGTGTTTGAGTTTGTTGAGCAAACTCATCTTCTCCTGAGCCCATTTCCTTATCTGTGAGGAGGGTAATAGCTTCTGAACGTACCTTGTCACTAGGGCTGGGAGGCGGGGGAGAGGTTCCCAAGTCACTGTGTCACTTGCTTCTGTCGCAGCCCAGACCTTTAGGCCCCAGCAAGTTCCCAGGGTGCCCTGCAGACTGTGGGCCAGGTGCTCTGGCTCTAGGCCCTGAACTTCTTGGCTGGACCTCAAGCCAGTTTAGTAAAGTGCTTTGGGATGAAGCAGGCGAACGTGAATCATGAGGATTCCTGTGCCGGTTCCTTGGGCAGCAGGAAGCGTGCTGGCTCCGGGCTGCTTGTGTCCCTGTTCACTGGAGAAGTCGGGAGTATGCAGGCTGCTGGCCAGCCTTGGGGAATCTGCCCTTGGCCTTTCTCTCCAGCCTGTCCGCCCCTGCCCAGCGCAGCCCCATGGCCTGTGACCCACAAAGGCTGGTGACAAAATTTTGCCCCAGCTGTGCTGCCTGCATTTGGCTGCAGCTTCCAAGCCTTGTTTCAGTCCTGGGAACCTGACAGGTTGGAACTGGGATTCCTGGCTGCCTGGAGGATTGTTTTATGTATCCAGAGAGGAGCTTCAGAGTTACTGATTGGAATCTGGAACTGTTCTGCTGGAAAACTTCATTTAGGATTGTGTTACAAAGACTCCTTTTTAGGGAGTAGATCTACAGGCCCTCATTTAGGTCTCTGCTTGTTTGTTCTTCTTGTAGTCCACCTTACAGGTATTAAAGCACAGTATACCATGTGACCATCTCAGCCTACTGCGGACCTCTCTGAGCCCCACCCCAGAGAGGTGTTTGGCTTGATGCTGTGGTCCCTTGTTCTTCTGTCCATCTGTCCTGCTATTGTGATGTCCAGATTAGAGTCAGTCTGGGACCATTATGATTAAAGTGTCTTTGAGCTTCAGGCAGACAGCCGTGACACCTCCTGGGTGCCTGGCCGGCGTGCAATTACTTTGTCACAGTGCACAAGTACATTTGAATATATGTTGCCAAAAATGCATACTTGGGGG